TAGGTCGAAATAAACACGATTATAAAAGAACACATAGTAAGTGTTGTATTTGACTTCTACATAACATCACAGCTCGACATATATCTCTTTTCACTTTCGTCTAGGCCGAAGGTGATATCATTAAACAGAATATCACATTAAACTTAGGACCCATAAAAACACAAAACACTCGTGCATTTCGTGTTTGACCAAGTGTGTATGTGTTAACATCTGATCTAGCAGCTCTATGATATAATTTCGATATCCTCCATTTCTGGCATGTATACCATAGGTCTAAAATTTACTTTTTTTTTAAATGAAGCATGACAATCCATCTTTACTGTGATCATAGGTCTATTGATAGAAAGCTTACTTACATTTTATGAACAATTTGGCACAGAAAATGGATTTTAAAACAACAGACTTATTGGGCAGATATAGTCTCCTTGTACATGTAGGATTCAGTGTTATGTATTGTTTTGTTAAATAATGGTCCTCATTTAAACATTCCCTAACAAACAGAAACTAGATTTTGCTTGTGTATTGTATAGTGGCTGAACATCCCACTACCGCTATATGACACATTCCAGAGCTGTATGTGGTTAATGAACAAACGAAAGCCGACATGTGAACATCGCTCAGTAAACCATTACAAGGAAACCTCCGTCCCCTATCCTATAATAGAAATATTTGAAATGCTCGATAACGGGTAATTAAGATATTTCTCTTTGCGACGACACACTGTCATCTTATCAACCAGGCGATCGTAGTTTGCACAAAATACCTATTTGTTTGTTTATTATACTGCACTGTAGTGTGTATTTCTCTCTGTTATGGTAACATCGCATCACCGTTTCAAATTCCGATTTCCGCCCAAATTATGAGCATAATTCATGGTTACAAGAAATACATAAACTGAATCTAGGTAATCTTCCATGAACCCTTTTGTTGGGATGTTTGTTTTATTTTCCTATTTTGTTTTAAAAAGGTATTATAACTAAGTCACTGCTATGTCAAAACAATGTTCTTACACATACAGCTCTAACGTCACCAGTGACCAAGCTGGCAGAATGTCAGCGTAACTGTCTCGATAAGAATATCGTTTTTGCACACATAAAAACGTTACTGGTTTAATATAATGGAGAGTAGCTTAGTCTATAGAGTGTCAGTCACCTTAAACAATGGATAAGAGTTCGACTTCATTGTACTGACAAACTATTTAATAGACTGTTTGATCCCCTGATCCGTCAGTTGTGTACTAGCCATCTACATGTCTAAGGCGTTTTATATAGCCAGCGTTGGTCACTATGTAATCCATCAGCAAAAAGGTCTTTTGTTGTGTTTTTTGATTGTAACGGAATGTCTTTATGAGGAACATTTGTCATTTGTATGGCACTGAGTTATTTCCTCAGTTTTAACGTATGCTCCATAAATTAATACCATTTTCAACGGATCTGATGTCATTCATCAAATACATCAACAGTAAGCAAGGTAAACATATGCACTACGATTTCGTACTGTGCTTCCTTGGGGCACATGTGTATGTAAATGAGTTTCTTCCCTTCAATCAGAGATGAAACAGGTAACACGATGGAAAGTCCATTAATTCTCATTCTAGTTCTCTTAGGAAATCATTTGAACTGACATGCTTAATAATTGATTTTTGGCTATTGATATTTAAATGTACGATCAGAAATATTGCTTATATTGACAGATGAATTGTTGTTTGTACTTCGTCAGTTCATATATTTTTATGTGTAATATAAACATGCAAAATGAACAATAAAGATTAAATGAAGTGCATTATTCAATTTTTAATAATTTGGCATCATTTACATGTAATGCAAGGTTAACAGGATCAGCTGGATCTAATATCCTGAAAAATAAATAAATAATATTAGTTGAACTTAACAGTTAAAATATATAATCGAAACAATTGTCACAAGAAGTTTGAGGTCAGAAAGTACTCATTTAAACATTAAGCAAGGGAATGTAAAAAGCCACAAGAGAAGTAAATATTTACTGGCTATTTTGTCAATTAAGAACACATCAGCGATACTAAACGTCAAACGTCTTAACGTTACATTTACAACAATTAAAGGTACATTTATAGGGTTTCCTGAAAACCGTCACAGAACGTATAATTAAGTCATATTCAAACTGTTAAAGGATTTGAACTGATGAGATTTGTTGTTAAGATATTTTCTTTTTTGAATTAAAAGTTTGTTTATTGAGCGATACACATGTAGTTTCCTGTAGCAGTTTTCAATTTAAAATAAAGAACATGAATTAAAAGGATTTCTTCTTTTTTCTCCATATACCTTTTCCTCCGAATCCGCCTTGACCTCCCATTCCACTGCCAATTCCTCCGAAACCACCATTTCCTCCGCCCATACCTCCAAAGCCACTTTGTCCTCCCATTCCACCGCCCATTCCTCCGAATCCACCTTTTCCGCCTGCCTTTCCTCCGAATCCACCTTCTCCTCCCATATCACCGCCCATTCCTCCGAAACCACCATTTCCTCCGCCCATACCTCCAAAGCCACTTTGTCCTCCCATTCCCCCGCCCATTCCTCCGAAACCACCATTTCCTCCGCCCATACCTCCGAAGCCACTTTGTCCTCCCATTCCACCGTTCATTCCTCCGAATCCACCTTTTCCGCCTGCCTTTCCTCCGAATCCACCTTGTCCTCCCATTCCACTGCCCATTCCACTGCCCATTCCTCCGAATCCACCGTTTCCTCCACCCATACCTGCGGATCCCTCTCCGTTCATGCCACCTCCCATTCCTCCTCCAGTACCGCCCATTCCTCCGAATACACCTTTTCCGCCTGCCTTTCTTCCGAATCCACCTTGTCCTCCCATTCCACTGCCCATTCCTCCGAATCCACCGTTTCCTCCACCCATACCTCCGGATCCGCCTCCGTTCATGCCACCTCCCATTCCTCCTCCAGTACCGCCCATGCTTCCGAATCCACCACCATATCCTATAACACAGAGGGAAATGTTTTATTCATTTTTTAATCCAAACCTTATAAGTATGTCAATTGCATTTCTTTTTACATATTTCTGTAAAGTGAATTGGACAATGCTTTACTAAATACCTGTTTTCAAATTAATATTCATGTAAAATATATGTATTTTCATTTTTGTTATTTTACTAGTTGCCTCCTAATGATAAACAAACATTTATGTAAAAAAATTAAATAAATTGAGATGTCCGAAAACGTGTGTAGGGCCTGATACCGTATCTAGTTTTGATTCCTGTACGGAATATCAAGTCAGTTTACGTATAACGCCAAATAGGGTTATAATTGTATTGAAACATATGATTTTTTTCGTCCATTTAGGACGCATACGTAGAACAAAAGGTCACAAGAATTAAACATTTATTTTTTAAACATTACGAAACAGATATTGACATAAAGGGAGAGGCGCTTATAAAATCTTTCACAACATTATAAATTAAAACATTTTTGCTACAGCATATAATTTATCATCGAGAAATATATTAATATAAAAATTAAAATGTCACAAATTATATTACGTTTTCAGAAAGTAGCAGAGATAGTTATTGAAATGATTCGGAAAGATGTACAGAGACACCTATTCGACATAATTCTTTAAGACATACCAGCAGCTGAGACAGCAGCAACAAGGCAAACGGCAAGACAGACGTAGGTATTCATCCTGAGGATCTGTAGACAGACATGTGTAGACAAATAATTCTAAAGGCATTACATTTATTAAACATGTTTATATTTTGTATACTAAACTTCTTAACGAACCTTTAAACTCAAGTATTTATAAAAGCTGTAGCAGTATGTAGCTACTGCATGTTCTGATAACAGGGATATATCGAAATACTTGATACACTGAAGTTATGTCGGGAAAGAATTCATAGTTTTCTTTCCACAGCTAGTAAATATAAGACAACGTTATGCATTTTAAATTGCGATAAATTCACACGATACATTTTAACTTTACATAAAAATGTTTAACTTTACATGGTCAATTTGGAGCTACTGTAGCTAGCATTGTCTATCGCTCCAAAGTTATGCTGTAGAGACCATAGCGTTATTCTTATGTATTTCACTACGTACAAAATACTCACAAGGAGGTAAAACGGAATCAATTATGAAGATACTTTAAGAGATGTTAATAAGTAGGCTTTGGCACATTTCTGATAGTGTTGATTATGACGTTTGTCTGTCATCCCTCAAACATTAAGTACAACAATTAGAGAGTAATATATTTCTTTATTATAAAAGAGGTTTATAACACCAATCTGAGAAATTACAAGATATTGCCACCTTGATATTATGAGACTCAAACAGATAACAAGACGACGACTTTATAGTACAACAGACAAAAGTGTACCAAAACGTCAGCGCATACGACAAATCCGGAACTGTTAGTCGACACAAATCGGCAATAAGATAATTCGAAAATACACTTAAAAAAGGACACAAAACGAGGTATTCTGAAATGATAGTCGTACCTTGAAGAACAGGCTAGGAAATCTGCTGATGTCGGAGGGAAGAAGGAGATGTGGTAATTTGAAACCAGAAGACAGCCACTATTTATACTGTTAGAAACGGAAGTCTGTAAAGAGCAGGTCATCACTTTCATGTACGAGAAACACATCATTGATTGATCACAGAAATTAAACCCGTTAGAAAATTTCGCATATTGTTTTAATGTTATTTAGTTGTCAACATTGGACCACATCAATATGTTTGTAATATGTAAAGTGCATGCTCAGCAAGGGATAAGATACTCGGCACGTACTTGGGAATGTGCATTGCGCTTTGAAGACGGTGATTGCATTAACTTGTTTTTTTTGTACGTGGTTGTGTTAAGGTAAAGCGTTATTGCCGACAGACACAATGCAAAATTAGATCAAAGGATAAACGTTATTTGCATAATGTAAAAGAATATGTAAGGGATGTATTTCGCATCAAAGAGTAAATTGATCAGAGAGATGCATTATCTAAACAAAATTGTATTTGTTTTATTTTCTGATTTTTTTTTTTATATACAATGGAAAGTAAATTTGTAATACTTGAAAATCTCACACACACTAATCTCGCTTCCACTTTCACACACACAATTATTGATTGTCATTTTAAAACATTTTTCCAATGTTTGCATTTACATTTTTACAGAGATACAGACAGAGAGAGCGATGTCAGGCAATCAGTAGTAAATATCTATATATCTATATGTATGACTAGCATATGAAAACAGGAGGGAGTAAAGAGCATGTGTTGTCAGCTGCAAATTTCAATATATGTATAGTAATTAGCTAAACAAAATATTTTGATGTCTTATGGATAGGAAAAATGGATACAAAACAACTCATATACTAGTGTCCAATAATATTACATATTATAACTGTAAATAGTATTCTTAAAATAAAGTTCAGCAAATTGAAGATTCAGGAGATATTAATTAACTTTTGCCATTTTTTCCAATTATTTTTAAAAGTGTTATTATATTTGTCATCTTTACCTGTTGCAATATATTTTTGTGTAGTATAGTTTTCCTTGATTGCCTTTTTAAGACTATTTATAGATAAATTTGTTTTTAGGCATCTTGCTGAATAAATATATTGTTTCATAATCAAAATAATTGTACTGTCTATTGGTGTTCTTGTTCCATCTTGATTTTATAGTCCAAAGATAAAAGTCACTTTATTGTAAGCAAAAGGGATCATTAAAGCATCTAAAAAAACCTCAAAATGTTGTATGTGTATGCATGTCTGATATGAGGATGTATGTGTTTGTATTCATAAATGGATATATATGTGTATGTGTGTGCGTGTGTGTGCGTTTTTGTTTTTGATTCTGACTTTTTTCTTTTTTTTAGAGGCGCAGAGCCGTTCCAATTTTCTCTCCCTATTACCTCAACTTCAATCAATTGTGTTCTATAATGTTTTTTCCCTATATCTTCCTTCCCAATATTGTAATACTTATTATCTGCAGTGGAAACCCTGAATGTTATAATAACTTTGTACTTTGTATTGCTCAAACTGAGTATTGTATTGGCTGGTCTTACATTGGTCCTACTCTTGTGATGATGATGTTCCCATTTGATATCACCTAAATATATATAAATGCCAATAAGTCATAACATTTTTTTCTGTAAGAGTTGTGTTCTATAATGTTTTTTCCCTATATCTTCCTTCCCAATATTGTAATACTTATTATCTGCAGTGGAAACCCTGAATGTTATAATAACTTTGTACTTTGTATTGCTCAAACTGAGTATTGTATTGGCTGGTCTTACATTGGTCCTACTCTTGTGATGATGATGTTCCCATTTGATATCACCTAAATATATATAAATGCCAATAAGTCATAACATTTTTTTCTGTAAGAGTTGTGTTCTATAATGTTTTTTCCCTATATCTTCCTTCCCAATATTGTAATACTTATTATCTGCAGTGGAAACCCTGAATGTTATAATAACTTTGTACTTTGTATTGCTCAAACTGAGTATTGTATTGGCTGGTCTTACATTGGTCCTACTCTTGTGATGATGATGTTCCCATTTGATATCACCTAAATATATATAAATGCCAATAAGTCATAACATTTTTTTCTGTAAGAGTTGTGTTCTATAATGTTTTTTCCCTATATCTTCCTTCCCAATATTGTAATACTTATTATCTGCAGTGGAAACCCTGAATGTTATAATAACTTTGTACTTTGTATTGCTCAAACTGAGTATTGTATTGGCTGGTCTTACATTGGTCCTACTCTTGTGATGATGATGTTCCCATTTGATATCACCTAAATATATATAAATGCCAATAAGTCATAACATTTTTTCTGTAAGAGTAGGACTGTATTATGACATTGCACGCTCTGTTCAAACTCGATCTGTAAGAGTAATGAATGATGTTTTTGAAGTCTTCCTTTTATTGTGCTTTTTTGGAACCATCATGCATTTTTGCCCATTGTCATATTTTATGTCCTTGCTCGACAGTTAGGCATATGTAATACTTGCAACGAACACACAACTTCATGTCGAAATCAAACGTTATTACTTAAAGCGTATTTCACGGCGATCATCGCTCAATTTATACTGTATATTTCCATACTCATCGTCTTGTCACTATTATGCTGTGGCGATATAGAAACTAACCCCGGTCCCTTTCATCCTTCTGCTAACTCCTCGTCAATATCCTCTGACGAACCTGTATCTTTCACACATAATAATAATTGCTTATCATTCGTCCACCTGAACGTACAAAGCTTGCGTCCAAAACTAGATGTTCTGTACACCGAACTTTATGAGCATAGTATTTTAGCATTTACCGAAACTTGGCTTTCTGACTCTGATATTGATTCGTCCTTGGATATTTCTGGTTTTCACAGTCCTTTTTGTTACTGTCGTAATGACGCCGTTGGAGGGGGTGTTGCTGTTTATGTAGCAGCCAATCTTTTTGTCAAAAGAAGGTCCGATATTGAAGTTGACGATGTCGAATGTGTTTGGGTTGAAATAGCATCCAAAGGTCAAACATTTCTATTTGGTACTTTCTATAGACCCCCAAATTCTAACATAACTGTATGGACCAAATTTGAGGAATCCATTGGTAGGGCAATTAACTCTAGTATTGGAAATGTTATTATAACTGGTGATTTTAACGTCAATTTATTGCAACGCAGTCATAATTTTAACTATTTTGATAACATAATGTACACTTACGGACTTACGCAGTTAATTACTGAATGTACGCATTATACTGAACATTCGACATCCTTAATAGACGTTATATTGGTAAATAACGATTTTATAATAGATCGGTCTTATGTAGGGGAATCGTTCCTTGACCAACCAGTAAGATACCACTGTCCCATCTATGCAACTCTTAATATTGCTCAACATTCAACCGACTCGTACCGAAGGAAAATTTGGCTTTATAAGCATGGAAATTTTGACAAACTAAGAGAACTATTAGAAATGTCGGATTGGCCTCAAGTATATGATGCTAATATCGATCTAGCATGCAAGCGTCTAACTGACTTCATCGATTCCGCTTCTTCTTCGGCTATCCCTAACAAAACGGTCATTATGAGAAAACGTGATCATCCATGGATGAACAAAAAAATCAGAAAATTAATATCAAAACGTAAAAAAATCCCAATAAGGCTAAACTTACTGATAGCCAATCTGACTGGTCTATTTTCAGACAAACCCGTAACAAGTGTGTAAATGCCATTAGACAATCTAAAGAATCTTATTTTAACGGTTTGTCATCAAAATTATCTGATTTAAGACAATGCAACAAGTCATGTTGGTTAACTGTAAAAGTCTTCATGAACAATAGTGGTAAATGTGGAGAAATACCAACGATTTTCACGATAATGTCTATTACGAAACTGATGTTGATAAAGCTAATGTTTTTAATTTATATTTTTCAAGTCAATCCGTTGTGGATGATTCAATGGTTATGCTTCCTCCACTAATAGAATTCCTTAATCGTATTTGTCTGAGTAATATAAATATATCATGTACAGATGTTAAGGATGCCTTACTCAATTTGAAAACTGGTAAAGCTGTAGGACCAGATCTTATTAGTCCCAAAGTGCTCAAGGAAGCTGCAACATCACTTGCTGAGCCACTATCTATATTTTTTAATAAATCCTTATCACAAGGAATATTTCCATCATCGTGGAAAGAAGCAAATGTTTTACCTATATATAAAAAAGATAGCCGTAATGATGTTAAAAACTATCGACCAATTTCACTTTTAAGTATAATTGGTAAAGTGTTCGAGAGGTGCGTTTATAAACATGTTCATAATTTTCTTCTTGATTTGAAAGTAATAACAAAATATCAATCAGGTTTTACACCAGGCGATTCCTCTATTAACCAATTATTAAGTATTTCCAACGATTTTATTAAGGCATTAGATTCAGGTAAAGAAATAAGAGTAGTATTTTGTGACATCAGCAAAGCATTTGATAGGGTTTGGCACAAAGGGCTGTTGTATAAATTATCAAAAATTGGAATAAC